GAAGGACAGCTTATGCACAGGGAGACAGCTCAGGGGGCAGGAGAGTATGGAGGTATGGACACTGGGAAGTGGTACTATGGGGAGGAAGTTGGAGGGGAGCTGTTGCATTGTGGTAAACTGTGGTCAAGGACATGAGACAAAGTATATGTGAACTGCTGTATCGAGAATGAATTTGCTCTGTAAATCTTCACCCAAATCACAATAAAAAATAAAAAAAAAAAAAGATTAAGACCTATTTTATCACTCCAGTGGTTTTCCATCATACTCAAAATAAAAGTCAAAGCTGATAAAATAAATAAATAAATAAAGTAAGTAAGCTCTTCAACTTATAAATGAAGACATTGATACTCTGGTTAACTCCAACATCAAACTAAGGGTGAGTGACAGCAATTTCTTTTTTTTATTTTTATTTTAATTGTGATTTAGGTCAAAGTTTACAGAGCAAGTTCACTTTCCATACAGCAGCTCACATACACTTTGTCTCATGACATTGACTACAATTCACCAAAATGCAACAGCTTCCCTCCCACTTCCTCCCCATAGTTACCTCTTCCCTGTGTCCTTCCTTCCATGCACTCCTGCCCTCTGAGCTATCTCCCTGTGTATGCACAGCCCTTCTATTCTCCCATGATTGTTCTCTCCCAGGAGTGTATTTACCTAATGTAAATGTTCACTTCATATGCCTGTCTTTTGTTTGGCTAGAAGCCACAGGAGTGGGTTCAATTCCAGACCTGAAGGGCAGCTAGGGGCCCTAGCTAGGGGCCCAGTCTCAGTGGTTCCATTAGGCTCTATTAGACCAGCAAACCCGATCCCTTTTTTTTTTTTTTTTTTTTAATGATTTTGAGTTTTGTTATACATTGTTCACCCACTCCATCCAGGATCTCCTATACAGATCCCCCTTCAGGTGGTTGACAGCGGTAGCCAGGCACCATCTAGTTCTTCTAGTCTCATAGTCCTATAGGCTGAGGATAGCATGGTGTACCAGTCACTTGGGCAAACTGTTTCCACGAATCTTTGGTTTTCTTCATTCTTCTTTGCTCTGGATGAGGAGAGACCCATCGTTGCATCTAGATGGCTACTTGCAAGCTTTTAAGATCCCAGTTGCTACTCGCCAAAGTAGGATATAGAACAATGTTTTGTACAGTGTATTATGCCAATTGCGCTTGATGTCCCCTGCAACTATGGTTCCAAGCCCACAGGTCCAACTACTCGCTCCCTCTGGGTACCTGGCTGTGGCCAAGAAGTGACTACAATCTTGTCCCTTGTCAGCTCTACTATGTATCTGGGAATTCTTACAGAAACATACCAATACACTTGTAGACCCCGATACATGGTCTTGGGCATACTCCCCCCTACACAGACATACCTAATAGTTCAGCCTGTCCACCCATCTAGCCACCTGTATATCCATGTTTGCCTTCACTGACAATGCATTACTGTACAAAAGGGTGCAAAAGGGTTCATCTTTGTTGTCTGTACCTTCCATGTACCTCTCTATGTCTTCCTCTTCCTCAGTGCCACCATGTTGATCACTCACATTTGGTACATTTACCTTCTCTTCACCCAAATCAATATCTGGAGTGACAGCAATTTCTTGAATCCTAGTTTAATACTCCTTTAATCACCACACTGTCTCCCTAAAACTTGTTAACTGAAAAAGATTTTAAAATATTTATTAAGAAGTATTCTGGGGAACTGTTGTATGCATAAAAATCTTAATTTCAGCACTGTTTATTATCATAAACAACTGGAAACTACTTCATTGTCTGTTAACAGAGGACGGGTTAAATGAATAATGCTACATCCATTCAGGAGCTTTGGTAGCATAGTGCCTAAGGCACTTGACTGCTAACCAGAAGGCTGGCAGTTCAAACCCACCAGCCACTCCTCGGAAGGAAGATGGGGCAATCTATTTCCATAGTGATACTGCCTTGGAAACCCAAGGAGGGGTCGCTATGACTCGAGTCTGACTCGACAGCACATAACAACAACAACATCCATTCAATGACATAACACACAACTTTTTCCAAAGTGAGGCTGAATCTACGTGTTTTGATATACTGTGATCTACTAGACACAGTAACTAAAAAAAATTAAGGTTATACAAGTGGCAAGGAATGCTAGCATTTGTGTATATATGTGCATGCACACACACACACAGACATACACCCATCCCTATATCATTATCTATGTTTAGAATACACTGGAGAAGACACCAAAAATGGGAAACAGAAACTGCCTGTGGGGAAGGAAACTCAATGCTGGAAGAATGAGACTAACTTTTCACTGTCTACCCTTTTGAATTTTGTACCCTGTGCTTATATTACCTTTTCAAAAAATTAGCAGCCATATCTGAAAGGAAGAACAAAAACTATCTCTAGCCACAGATAACATGATCTTATGAATATAGAAAATCCCGAAGAAGCCACAAGAAAGCTACTAAAGCTAATAAACAAATTCAGCAAACTTGCAGGGCAAACAATCAAAATGCAAAATCAGTTATATGTTTCTATATATCAGCATTGAGCAGTCTGAAAAGGAAATTAAGAAAACAATTCCACTTACAATGGTAACTAAAATAACAAAATACCGAGGAAAAAATTTAACCAGGGAGATAAGACTTGTACAGTGAAGACTGTAAAACATTGCCGAAAGAAGTTAAGAAGGGTGGCACAGTTAAGCACTCGACTACTAACCAAAAGAGTGGCAGTTCAAAGCCACCCAGTAACGTCTCAGAAGTAAGCCCTAGCTATCTGCTTCCAAAAGGTAACAGCATTGGAAACCCTAGAGAACAGTTCTCTGCACACATGAGGTTGCCATACATCAGAACTGACTCAATGGCAACTAACAACAAATAAGTGGAAAGACATCTCCTGTCAATGGATTAGAAGACTTAGCTGTCAATACTCCCTAAAGTGATCTACAGGTTCAGTATCATCCCTATCAAAATTGCCACAGTCCTTTTTTTGGAGAAATGGAAAAGGTGATCCTCAAATTTATATGCAATTGCAAGAGGCCCCAAATAGTCAAAACAATCTGGAAAAAAAACACAAAATACGAGGACTCACACTCCCTGATATCAAACATACTATACTGTCATTGTTAGCTGCTATGCTATCAAAATGCTCTGAGAAGCCTCCAAGCATGGAGACCTTATGTACCAAATAACAAAATGTTGCCAGATTGTTTGTTATCCTCACAATTGCCAGCATGTTCCAGTCCATTATGTGGCTATCATGCCAACTAAGCAAGCTACAGAGATCAAAACAGTCTGGTACTGGCATAAGGATAAATATATAGACCAATGGAATGGAATTGAGAATCTAGAAACAAATGCATACATCTGTGGCCAATTGTTTTTTGACAAGGTTGCTACTAAGTCCATTCAACGAGGAAAGAATAGTCTCTATTAAGTACTGTGAAAACTTCTCCACAAGCAGAAGAATGAAGTTAAACTAATACTTCACACCATCTACAAAAACTAACTCAAAATAAGTCAATGACCTAAATGTAAGAACTAAAAAAGTAAAACTCATAGGGTAAAACTTCAAGCCCTTGTTTTTGACAATGGACTCTTAAGAGATAATACCAAATGCACAAGAAACAAAAGACAAAAATAAGTTGGACTTCATCAAAATTAAAAACTTTTGTGCATCAAAAGACTTTATTAAGAAAGTAAAGAGACAGCCTACATAAAAGGCTTTGGTAACCATGTATCTGATAAGAACTTACTACTATCCAGAATATATAAAATCTGTTGCCATCCCGTCAATTCTCATAGCGACCCTGTAGGACAGAGCAGTCACCCTATAGGGTTCCCAAGGCTGTCATCTTTATGGAAACAGACTGCCTCATCTTTCTCATGGAACTGCTAGTGAGTTCGAAGGGCCAACCTCTTGGTCTGCAGCTGAGTGCTTAACCACTGGTACACCAGGGGTCCTAGAATATACCAAGATCTCCTACAATTCAACAACGACAAAAACAACCTAATTAAAAACTGGCAAGGGACTTGAATAGACATGAAAAAATGCTCAAATTCATTAGTTATCAGAAAATGCAAATCAAAATCACAATGAGATACCACTTCATATCCTCTAAGATGGCTATTATCAGAAAAACTGAACATAATAAGTGTTGGCAAGGATTTGGGGCAATTGGAACCTTTATGTACTGCTGATGGGAAGTAAACTAGTGCAGCCACTGTGGTTTCTCAAAAGAGTTAAACATAGAGGAGTTCTGGTAAGATGGTGGAATAGGCAGACAAACTGCACAGATCCTCTTCAACAAACAAAAGGGGATACCAGTTAACACAGATACAGAGGATAATCCTGGAGCCCTGACCTTTGAAGGGAAGTTGGACTGACTCCAACTTGTGGAAGAACCTGCATGAAAACACTGAAAAAGGAGACATAGGAAGCTACAGTCTATCAGTGATCCTGATGGCACGGATAGCTTGGATATTGCCAAGTGGTGTTGGGACCTGATAACTGACCTAAAGATCGGCCTGCTAGCCAGGGGCTGCATGGAGGACTGCACTGGTGGCTGGTGAATAAAAGTGGAAGCAGCGAAGAGGGAGACAGGCTAACCCATGGACTTCTGGCTGTCCAGAGGGTGCAGTTAATTTGAATGTTTACAAGCAGTTCGACTATTCTGGATATTTAAAGTGACATCATTCTCTCAGATTCCAGGGACCTAAGAATAAGCTCCACTTATTGGGAACCACGTGGATATTCTGGACATGAACAACTGGAAAGATGCGTTATTCCCCTTGTACTCTCATACCCTACACCCTCTCTTGGTGCACGGAGCTGCAGCCATCCCTCATTCCCACCCACTTTCTGGGCCAGCAGGAATTCCGTCCCTGTCTGTGTGCTCTGACAGAGCCCGGGAGCCCTGCCCTGCCCAGATCTTTCTTTCTTTTTTGTTCAGTTTGTTTTTGTCTGTTTTAAAATTATTCTTCTTCCTTCCTTTTTTTTTTTTTTTTTGTACCTTATGTTATTATTCTTTATTCCTCCCTTCCCAGGTTCTACTTTTCAGTTTTTTCTCTCTTCCTTGTTCCTGGTTCCTATTTTTTTTCTTTCTCATGGTTCTCCCCATTCCTTATTTTTATTTTTTCATTTTCCCATTTTTTTCTTCATTATTTTCCTACTCTACCTCTTTTGTCTTATTGCCCCTTCCCCAGATTTGCAGGTTTGTTTATTTTCACTCTTCTTTTTTTGGTGATTGTTCCTGTCTGTTATGTGGTGTGTTTTTTGTCTGCTTGCTTTTACCCTTTTGATGGTTTTTTGATTGTTGTTTTTGTCTGAGTGGGAGACAGCAACTGTGCCCATAAGATGTAACCACACCTCCTGCAGTTCCACTTACTGAGTGAGAGCCACCACTTCCTTCTCCACCAACTGGCCAAGGATAAATGACCACCAAGAAGAGCCTAACTCACCCTTAACTGCTCTTCACAAATAGTTAACAGAGATCTAAATACAAGAATGTCACAATGTCTCGGAGACAAGAGACCATCACAGTCCACACAAAGAATTAAGATAAAGTGGTAGAAACAATGGAGCAGGATACAGACCCAGAACATATCCCTAAGGAAGAAGTAGCATTGGAACTCCCTGATAAGGAATTCAAGAGAATTATATTTAGGTATCTTCAAAGGATTGAGAGACAGCTCAAGGAAAACACTAACAAAATTAAGGAAAACACAGACAAAATTCTAGAACAATTTTGGAAGAAACAAAATGACAAAATTAATGAAACATTAGAAATTATACAAAATCTACAGATAGAAATACAGGAGATTAATACTAAATTTTCAGAAATAGATAACACATTGAAAGGGCACAGGAGTAGAATCAAACCAATGGAAGATGTAGTTACTGACAATGAAGACCAATACCTGAATACTTCTTTGGAATGGGCTCAATCAAAAAAAGATAACAAAATGAAGAAAGCCTAAGATTCATGTGGGATACCATCAAAAGGAATAACCTACGTGTAATCGGAATTCCAGAACAGGAAGGGAAAAATAAGATTTGTGTGGGATACCGTCAAAAGGAATAACCTATGTCTAATAGGAATTCCAGAACAAGAAGAGAAAAAGAAAACCACTGAGAAGAATTTCCATGATTTGTTGGAAGAGAACTTCCCTTATACGATGAAAGATGAGAATATATCCATTCAGGAATTTGAATGAACCTCAAACTGGAGAGACCCCAAAAGAAAATCACCAAGACATACCATCATCAAACTCACAAAAACCAAAGACAAAGAAAGAATCCTGAAAGCAGCATGGGAAAACGAAAAGTTACCTACAAAAGACAACCAGTAAGAATAAGCTCTGATTTTTCAGCAGAACCCATGCAAGTGAAAAGGCAATGGGATGGTATATATAGAACACTGAAAGAGAAAAATTTCCAACCAAGAATTATATAACCAGCAAAACTGTCCCTCAAATATGATGGTGAAATTAGGACATTTCCAAATAAGCAGAAATTAAGGGAATTTGTTAAAACCATACCCATCTTACAAGAGAACCAATAATAGGAAACAACAACCGACCATTAATACACAAGATGACATAACCCAGAACCCGACACAACTCTGGACGTACCCAAAGTAAAATAAGCCTACAAGATTGTAAGCAGGGAACTAGAGACATCAATTGGCAAATGAGGACAACTACAAACCAAAAAGAGGGAAAATACTGTGTAGTTACATAACTTCTAAATGCTGAGGAAGTCAAGAGAGTTACAAGATAGAATGGACTGTTCTAAACTTGGAGAGAAAATTATAAATCACAGGGCAACCTCAAAGAAAAATGATAAACCTTCACATCACAATAAAAAAGAAGACAAGTACAAATATTTAGCAAATACTAAAACAACAGCAACAAAGCAAATGATAACATGATTCATAAACATAATGAGCTTAGCATAGAAAATTATATAGACCAAAGAAACCAGCAACACCATGAAAAAACACGTAACAAAATGACAGCAGCCAATTCATATCTGTCAATAATTACACTGAACATCAATGGACAAAATGCACCACTCAAAGAGATGGAGAGTTGCAGACTGGATAAGAAAGCATAATCCAAAAATATTCTGTCTATACAAGAGACACGCCATAGAGAGAAAGACAAAAACAGACTAAAAATCAAAGATTGGAAAAAGATATAGCAAGCAAATAGCAACCAAAAAAAGAACAGAAGTGGAAATACTAATTTCTGATCACACTGACTTTAAGACAAAAACTACCATAAGAGACAAGGAAGGACATTATATAATGATCAAAGGATCAATCAAACAAGAAGATATAACCATAGTAAATACCTATGGACCCAATGAAAGAGCCCCAAAATACATAAATCAGACTTTAATGGAATTGAAAATAAAAAAAAAGATGACTCCACAGTCAGAGTGAAAGACTTCAATACACCAGTTTCAGTGAAAGATGGAACAACTGAAAAGAAACACAACAAAGACATGGAAGAGCTAAACAATACAATCCACCAACTTGACCTTATAGACATCTACAGAGCACTTCACCAAACAACAGCACAATATACATTCTTCTCCAGTGCACATGGAACATTTTCCATGATAGACCATATGTTAGGCCATAAAGCAAGCCTT